GTTAAGTGTTTGACACAGAATAATTGCGTTCCGTTTTTACTTTTGTTTATTGAACTGACTTAGTTTGTTGTACTTTGGTTAAATAAAAATAGCGGACGACGACGAGAGCTTTACGCCCAGGAAATTTTTGGTCAAGACCCCGCCGGGCCTACGTGGGCCGCGGTGCCTACCCTACCGTCAGTAGTGGCGGACAAGCGGCTTCTGGCATCACCGGAAGAAGTTCAGGCATCTCCCCAGCGGCCAAGGGTGGGCAAGCACATTGAGCCTCGCCAGATTGTAGCACCGGTGGCAGGTCTATTCACTAGAGATGTGGAGGAGTCTGCTCCAGAATTGGAACAGGAGGACTGCAAAACCAAGGGATCCCAGGGTGCGAGGGGGAGAGTGCCAACACATTGGCATTATTACCTCTCAATAGTCCGGGCGGTGCGCTAGCCGCACAACCACCGAGACCTGACAGCGGTGAGGTGTCATCGGTGCTGACTCACGCGGAGTCTGATATGGAAGACGTCTTCCCACCGTTTCAAACCTGTACGACCATGCGCACTCGATCTGGCCGCGTTATAAAACTGCCTCAACGCTTAATTTTATAATATTTATACTTACAAAAAAATCCAAAGAATACATTTGTTATGTTTATGATTATTTTTGGGTATTCATAATAAACGTGGAGGAAAGGAATAGGTGTTAACGTCGAGTGATTAATGTCAAACTATATATTATACATAAAACAATGTATGTGTTGTACTATAGTCGTTCTGATTTATTTTATACTAAATTGTGTAAGCGCAACATGTCTATTAATTATACATATAACATAGTTGTTTGTTTCTCAAATAACGTAGTACTTCTTAATCATTCATTATACTACTTAAGGATTTGTTGTAACTGTATATTTTATATTACTTCGTAATCTAAGTGCGGAGGGAGATAGTGTGCATAATGTCGGTAGATAATAATAACGGTTTTTACGGTTAGCCTCTATTGAGTGAATCAGTGTAGAAATGGACGTGCATAGTGTGGTGTGTTTAAATTAACCTCTCCCGTATTCCTTGAATAGCAAGGACATTACAAGAACAATTTATAACCTAGGTTCAAAAGAATATCTTAAAGAAAATTTTAAACAAAATAGAAATATTAACTATAGCTTCCCAATATATTTACGAAAATTTAATGTTTATACACAAAAACAAAAATAGTGATGTACATTCTGTAAATACTAGGCACAGGACCCCAAAGACTCAGTAATTCCTTCATTGGGCAATGTGTAAGCTTTTACAACAAAGTCCCGAAAATATGCAATATTTAAATATTTATTAGGCAACAATTGTTTAGTAAGGGTTATTATACTACTAAAAAGTACATAATTGAAAATAACCCCCGGGAATGAGGCGTCGCTACCATGATGTTTTCATAACAATTATATAAAATATTATAAATTGTGCTTTTGCAAAAACAATCCTTCTGGGTTTCTTGCCGGCTGACAGAAGTTTTTTCCGAACCAGTGGTAAAAGTAAAAAAATTACTCAATAAGTATTACACATACTCTATATTGAATAAAAAGTATTCTATTCTATGATATCCCAAGGCCTTCACCGACAGCTCTGAACGTATTGCGGCGGAAGGAGCAGTACGGGGGCGCTAAGTTCGAATGACAGACGGCGCCTGGTCCGGACGGTATCCGCCCGAATGAATGGCGCCAAGTACCTGCAGCCCAAAAAGGGCCAAACCAAAAATACCAAACCCCTACGGTGTTGCCGAAAACAAACGACCCTGGTGGGCCAGGCGTCTATGGACCGATTTAGATAGCATTTATAACGCTTAGATACATTAACTCTGTCCTGGCGAGGAGACTGGCTTGTTTCCCCCTCCCCCACCCCGATGTATGACAGTGTGGTTTAGTCCGCGCCGCCGGCACGTTGGAAAATTCCGCCGTGCTGGACGCGGTACTAGGAGATAGGAAGAAACAGTTTAAATAGTGTCATATGGCGGTCATCGATTTCGCAAATGCGTTCGACACAGTGTATCATAGAACGCTGGTCGAGCTACTTCAGGCTCGGGGGCTGCCCATGGCATTCTGTGATTACATTCATCGACTGTACCATACGGCGAGCACTACAGTGATCAAAGCGAAAAGAGATTGATGTCCACCCAGCATTTACAAAATGCTGGTAAACTACTTCACCTCCAGGCGTGTGGGCCTCTACATCGGTGACCGAGTACAGTGGAAAACGTCGACTATGGGATGTCTTGAAACCTCCGTACTGGGCCAAACACCGTGGAATCTGCCGATGGATAACTTACTCCGACCCCCCCCCCTGGCTGAGGGAGTAGCCATGACTGGCTACTTAGAAGTTTCAAAGTAGGTATTCACTAAACAACAATAATCAATGTATTATATGCAATCATAAAATATTAATATCGTACTAAATTATTGTTGTTTATTTACTGCTAATTTCAGATTACATGGTGAATCAAAGAAGAGGAAATTGGTTGAAATATTCACAAAGGTTGCAACTGAAGCTTTTGACGATTCAGCCTCACAAAGACTTGCTCAATAACAATCTCTATCACGAAATAGAGAACTATTTGAAAATTTCTATTTTTTAAGCTAGCAAGCATAAACTTTCTTATTAATGCAATTAAAACAATTTCGTAAAAACAAAACGGCCTGGTGTACCCTAGATCATAATGATAAAGTAATGGTATTTCTAATGATGAAAACAAAAAGACTGTAAGCTGTTAGAAAAAATATTTGTCTTGCTAACCTATCAGACGAACATTAAATAGACTTTCTGGATAGCTACATTGAAACCAGGCATCAATCCACTAACATTTGAACATTCATCCAATATAAAACCTAAAACTGGAACACCAACCAAAGCTAGGCACAATTGTTTTTGACGAAGGTTCTCTGACATCACACTCAAATTATAATCAGAACAATGATATCATTAATGGGTTTATAGATGCATCTGGAGAGAGAAAACTGAAATATTGTGACGATGTTTTAGTATTTTTAAGAGGATTATGCTCTCTCTCTCTCTCTCTCTCTCTATTTTTAACTTCCTTTTTTGAAAATTAAAAAATTTCAAAAATCGGGAAGTTATTGTTTTTACCCCGTTTTTCGAAAATTGAGTTTTCATCAAATCTTAACGTTTTGAGGTCACGGGAAGCCCTGACAATTTTTCAATGGTGTCTGTATATGTGACACACACACATGTGTCTGTGTGTGTGTGTGTGTGTGTGTGTGTGTGTATGGATGTATGTAAACCTCTTATAACTTTTAAACGGCTTCACCGATTTAAATGAACTAAGAGGAATTCCAGTGTATCATCAAATTTAGATTTCCTTTGAATTTTAACTAATTCGGACCGGTAGATTTTGATCACAAAAACAAAAGTTGTGAAAATTTTTTTTGTAATAACTTTTAAACGGCTGTACCGATCGATTCCAAAAACTAATCAGTTTTTAACCTTGAAAAACCACGTCGATCGCCGCCGGTCCGATCAAAATCGGTTGATTCGTTCGTAAGAAATCGTTAACGAAAAACTTTGAAAAAAAAAACTGATTTATTTTTAAATTACTCCGATATTTCATACTCAACGTCAAAATTTGATGAAATTTGGATGGCATTCGAAATTAACGGGAAGTTCCAGGGATGGCTTGCAGGGTCAACCAATTTTTTTATAGAACAAACGAGCACAGTTTTTACGGGAACCACGTACGTAACGAATCAGTATTAATATTGTACTCTGAGGTAATGAAAAATAGTTGAAACAAGTTCGCTGCCCGCCATGCTTGCCTGTTCGAAACACTCCCAATGGCCAGCCTAGCATTTTTGTAGACTCGGGACTTATGGAAGCTTGCTAAGACATGACAAACGTGTAAACTTAGCATAAAACTCCTCAAAATGCACGTACGTCTCTCATCTCAGAGCTAGTGAAGTGACTATTGAAATCCGGGCAGGGTGAAGTAATATTATGAATTCTTTAAATAAAGATATAAATATGATAGGTTGCAGTAACTCCCATTACAGAATAACACCAATAGGCACACTTTCACATCTACCAATTGTCAGTTGCACAAAAAGACCGACAATCAAACGATTTATTCGATTCTTTATTAGAAACAATCGTTAAAAACGTTAGCTAATTATCTATATTGTTAAATAATAAATAGCTATTTTATATATGTAATTAGCTAATAGCCACGTCGTAAATTGATGTGTCTTACAATTAAGGAAGGGCGGGAAATGCTTTTCAAGCCTGTGTTCCGAAATAGAACCCAGTACACTGGCGAATGCAAATGACGTCATTAATTGACGCCATATTGTACTGGCGTGCCGCCGCCATATTGTGTCGGATATCCCGCCAAATTAAAACAACTTTTAAATTATGTGTACGCTGAATGAAGCATGCCAGAATTTGTTTTTATTTATTCAAATACAAAAAATGGTAGTGCTTAAACAGTTAAATCTGTACGATGAAGAGAATCAGAAATCACAGTTAGTCATTCTATGTTACTGAGGAAGTGCTCAAGAGCATTTTGCATACAACTTAACCTAAAAATAAACTATTTGTACCAAATGATGTTAATTTTTATTTCAATTAATGTTTGACAGAGCCAAATTACGGTGTACGATTGCAATATGGCGCAAATGTATGACATCATATACCTACCAATGTTTTGAATTGAATTACTAGTATGACGTCGATTTACGACGCCATTTGCATTGGCCAGTATACTGGGTTCTATTTTGGAACACAGACCAAAATAGGTAAGACATCATTTTATTTTATTACGCGCATATTAGCAAATTATTTTTTAACGTCTTTAACATAGTGGATTGCCGTATAGTAACATATGATTATACATAATAAACATAAACACTCACGCCTGTCACCCAGAGGGGTAGGCCGAGCCTACAGACTTCCATTTAGCACGATCCTGACATTTAACCCGATCATATTAATTATCTTAAAAGTAAACAATATTTACGTTCAGGTCAAGACTAGACGCTCGATGTGCTCCTGCTGGGGTTGTAAAGCGTGCACCCGCTGCAAGTGTCGCGCAACGTTGCGCCGTCTCGCGAAACTTCCGTCGCACACGCGGCATTTGAACGAGTACCGGGCGGCGCGGTGGCGGCTGGCGTGGATCCGCATCAGAGTCGCAGATTTGAAGCGAGCCGGGCATTGGGTACACTACAACCCAGAATACAAGCACATCAGTACATTTCATAGAAGAGTGACCAACGAGCACACAGTCCACCCAATGTAAGATGCTGTGGCCATAGACATCCAAATCTAGCCTCGATTAAAAATCAAAATGCTAATACGTTATCACCCATGAAAACTAAGATAGAATGTATCATTTTCAGTGGAAAGGGCCTCCGCTTCTCTTCACTTACCATAGGAAACACAGCAGCGTTAAGCTAATATTTTACGCTGGAATTCTGTGAGGGCGTGGTCTTACGCCGGTCGAGCCGACCCATTCGTCCTACAACCAAAAAAAGCTGCAGCGTGGCTCTACCACGTTTAATTAGGCTCTACTACATCTATCGCAGATGTGGTGTGCAAAATATTGTAAACGTTCATATAAACTACTTCATAACTAGCAGTAAAATAGTTAATTGTAATATTTAATTTTAAATTATTTCTATATAAATATACAACACGTAACATAATTAACAGACTTTGAGAAAGTAGTTTGTTCAGAATCGTTTACTGAATCGATTCCTAACATTTTTAATATAGGTAATTTTTTATCCCAAAAATAATTAAAACTACGTAAATTACAGTCACACTAAATCTGTACAGTCAAAACAAACTGAAATGGACCGTAACTTAAGGCAATAAGAGTTTTAAGAGTGCAATTTTATTTGTATTATTAGTAATTGTGTCATTCAATAAAAATAAAGAAAAATGAACTTTATTTCAAGCACGTTAAAGTCTTTGCGTTCGTGGATTTATACTGTGACCACAACATTCTTCCGGAATTAGTGTAAGTAATTTGTTGTAATAAATAATCAGTGCATAAAAATGTTTAACTAAAAATTCAGTGTATGTATTATGATTATAACATTATATACTAATTGGGGTGTCTGAGTGTGTGCGTTAATTACGTTACATATTGTATATCTCACAATTACGGACATACCATTCTACAGAAATTATTATATATACTAAGTATCAGCAGTGGCTATTGTTTAATGCAGCGGTCGGTGCAAGCGCGACTCAACAATAATTCGCGCCGCGCCACCAGTACGTTTACGTATGCCATACTGTTCGTTTGTTGACTGTTTACTCGTGATAAGGAACTGTTATTATAATTAATTCGTTCGCTTGATACTTTTAGTTCTTGTGCTATCTTTCTACATGTAACTATCACTCTATTCTCCTTCTGTGTGTTGAAGGCTTGTAACTTGTGTAAATTATAATTATTTAAACTGAAAGACTATTGAATTTTATTTTACTTACACAAGCAGCATAACAAATATTCAATTGAACTATACATGTGTCAACATTTGAACTAAAGTAACAAGTGTGAATATCGCGACATACCTTGCTGACATATTCCTCATGCGTCCATAACAGTATGTGAAAGTTTTCGAACACAGGTTTCCTTGATAGCTTGCCTCATGAGCAAGCAGGTAGTAATCAGGAAGATGCTACTGCCCTGTTTAAGATTCCCGACGATATGGGCTAGTGGAGAGTCTTATATCAACACTACATATATGTAGTAGTAGTGCGACTGCTGATCGTGAGGTCCTGGGTTCGATTCTCGGGTTGGGCCAAAAAATATTTATTGAGTTTTCCGTCAAGATATTCTCAGTAGCTGCCCGGAGTCAGGAAGTTGGCGGTGTCTCACCCCCGTGCCTCTGAAAGCACGTAAAGCCGTTGGTCCTGCGCCTGATCTCTCTCCGGTCGTGTCGGTTTACCGACCCATCGGATTATGAGAGTGAGGGAATAGAGAGTGCACCTATGCTTGCACATACACTTGGGCGATATAATCCTGTCCTGCGCCGATATGGCTAGCCTCCGTTGAAGCAGACCGCCGTGGCCGCAATTCGGCCTGGAGGACATTATTATTATTAGTATAGTTGTAACACGAACGTCAGCTCAACTGGGGCAGGACCACTCTCTCACAGAATACCAGCGTAAAGTAGCAGCTTAATGTTGCTGTGTTTCGTATGGTGAGTGTAGAGAACCGGAGACTCTCGTTACTGACAACATACTCTAAACATTGTCTACAAATATTCGTTCCAGGTCTGAATGTTTGTAGAGCCATAGATACTGCAGCTATATTGTGGTTGTAGCATGAATGGGTCGACTAGACCGGGGAAGGACCACGCCCTCAGAGAAAACCGGCGTGAAATAGCAGCTTAATGCTGCCGTGTTTCGTATGGTGAGTGTAGAGAACTTTTTACTGAATATGTGGCATTCCATCTTAGTTCTCAGGGATGACAACGGGTCACAAAATCCTGCTCACTTGTCTATAGAGATCATAGGATACAGGAGAAAATCCTCGGGAGGGGTTACTTTTGAAAAAATCAAAAAATATTTAGTTTAAAAAAATTACCTGCACTGTTTTCTCGGGAAGGTGTATGGCGATATGCTGGAGATAGCTACTCTTCCGATGGAATCCAGCACCACACTCTTTGCAAACGTAGGGTTTCTCGCCCGTATGCAGGCGTTCATGGATCTGTGGACAGGTATTGCCAGATTGGTTTGCTGATTGCGATTGAGTAGAAACCCAGCCCTCATTTAGACTGATGAATGCTGTGCAGTGTTATAAAATGATTATACCAACGCGGATTTCCTGTTTTCTAGAACAGTTTATAGTCATTAAAGCTACAAAATAATAAAAAATCTATTGTTGTGCGTTAAGTCTTGCTAAGTAAAAATTAGTAAGCTGAAGTGGCAATGGGCCGGCCATATAGCTCGGAGAACCGACAACCGATGGGGAAAAAATTTCTCGAGACGCAGCTTCGTACCGGTAGGCATAGTGTAGGGCGACCCCCCGCTAAATGGAGTGACGACCTGGTAAGATATGCAGGAAGTCGATGGATGCAGGTGGCTCAGGACCGTGCTTTGTGGCATTACTTGGGGGAGGATAATGTCAGCAGTGGTCTTGTGAAGGGCTGTGATGGTGATGATGATGAGTCTTGCTAAAACTCGAAAACGGTTCAAACCATTTTGATGGTTTGAGTGGGTCTTTGGATGGTTTAGATTCACAATTGGACCTGGTACGTGGAAATCATGGCCGGGGCGAATCGCTTGTTATCTATAAATTTCTTCATATTAATATAACCCTTCTTAAATAACCTTTTACTTTTTTTATACGATAGGGTGACAAGTGAGCACACAGTCCACCTGATTATAAGTGGTTGCTGTGACCCATAAACATCTACATCTATCCTCGATTACGAATCAAAATGTAGATGCGTTGTCACCCGTGAGGACTAAGATGGAATGCCTCGTTTCCAGTAAAAAGGGTCTCCGGTCTCTACACTCACCATACGAAACACAGCAGCGTTAAGCTGCTATTTCACGCTGGTATTGTGTGAGAGCGTGGTCCTTCCCCGGTCGAGCCGACCCATTCGTGCTACAACTATACAACTAATATAATTGCAGCATGGCTCTACCACGTATTAAAGTTTTTAAACTTGGTTGAAGTCAAATTTTGTATGGAATCCATAACCACTTTTTTATAGAATAAGGGTGACAAAGGAGCACACAGTCCACGTGATGGTAAGTGCATGCTGTGGCCTATAGACATCTACATATATTCTTAAGAAAGAATCAAAATGCAGATGCATTGCAACCCCTGAGCACTACGATGGAATGCCTTATCTCCAGTAAAACCGGTTTGCTACACTCACCATAAGAAGCACATCATCATTAAGCTACTATTAAGCTGACATTCTGTGAAAGAGTGGTCTATTCCCAGTTGAGCCGATCCATTCAAGGCTACAACCAGCAGCATGGCTCTACCACATACAAACCCACCTTCACCTGCTCAGCATTAGAAGCCCTGTAGTCGCAGTAGGAACACTTGTCAGTTTTCTCGTAGCCGTGCTTCGCGCGACAGTGCATCAACACTACACATATAAACCTACCTTCACCTGCTCAGCATTAGAAGCCCTGTAGTCGCAGTAGGAACACTTGTCAGTTTTCTCGTAGCCGTGCTTCGCGCGACAGTGCATCAACACTACCACATATAAACCTACCTTCACCTGCTCAGCATTAGAAGCCCTGTAGTCGCAGTAGGAACACTTGTCAGTTTTCTCGTAGCCGTGCTTCGCGCGACAGTGCATCAACACTACCACATATAAACCTACCTTCACCTGCTCAGCATTAGAAGCCCTGTAGTCGCAGTAGGAACACTTGTCAGTTTTCTCGTAGCCGTGCTTCGCGCGACAGTGCATCAACACTAACACATATAAACCTACCTTCACCTGCTCAGCATTAGAAGCCCTGTAGTCGCAGTAGGAACACTTGTCTGTTTTCTCGTAGCCGTGCTTCGCGCGACAGTGCATCAACAGGAGGCGACGGGTAATAAATTTTTTACCACAGTGCTGGAACAGAGTGTGTGGGGTTAGATAGTAGTGTTAAGTTATTCTTTTTTTAGAATCATGGTGACAAATAAGCACACATTTAAGCTGATGGTAAGTGAATGCTGTGGTCCATAGACATCTACATCTATATATACTCGATTAAGAATTAAAATGCATTTTCATGTAGGTCAATCATGCTTATATTGTCACCCTTGAGTACTAAGTTAGAATGCTTGGTTTTCAGTGAAAAAGATCGCCGGTTCTCTAAAGTAAAGTAGAGTTACAGCCTATATACGTCCCACTGCTGGGCACAGGCCTCCCCTCATTTCTGAGAGGGTTTTAGGGCAAGGAAGTGTCCACCACGCTGCCCCAATGCGTGTTCGAACTTCACATGTCTTCGAATTATTTTTCTTATTTCTGAGACATGCAGGTTTCCTCACGATGTTTTCCATCACCGCCGAGCACGTGGTAAATCAGCACTTAAAATTGGAATTAACAATTTCATTGGCGACCGGCGGGGATCGAATGCGGTTAGCTCGCGTACTGTGAAATTTACAGCGAGCACTAACCATCTGAGCTACCACGGCTCTTACTCCGGTTCTCTACACTCACCGAAAGCAACACAGCAGAATTAAGCTGCTATATTATGCAGGTATTCTGTGAGCTGGTACTTCCCCCGTTGGGACAGTTCACTCATGCTACAACCATAATATAGCTGCACTGTTACTCTACCACATAACAATTTATCTATTTAATATTTTTTATCAACCATGGCCTCTCTAACAGCTAGGAGGATCAAATAACAGTAATCGTCATCTTTGCAGGCAAACCAACAAACGTCCTTCACATAGACGCTATTACCTGCCCGCAGTCACAGTATTATTATGGCGGACAGACTTGACTGCCTCGTTGGTCTGGTGGTTGTAGTAGTGCGACTGCTGATCGTAAGGTCTTGAGTTTGTATCCCGGGTCTGCACAAAAATCTATTATTGAGTTTTTTTGTCAAGAAATTCTCAGTAGCTTCCCGGAGTCAGGAAGTTGGCGGTGTATCACCCCCGTGCCTCGAAAAGCATGTAAAGCCGTTGGTCCTGCACCTGATCTTCCTCCGGTCATGTCGGTTTGTGAGAGTGAGGGAATAGAAAGTGCAGCTGTGCTTGTGCATACACTTGGCCACTATAATCTTGTCCTACGCCGATGGTTAGCCTCCGTTGAGGCAGGCCGCCGTGTCCGAAATTCGGCCTGGAGGACATTATTATGGCGGGGAAATATTGTTTGGTAAACGTGATAAGAGGAGATTTAAGGAATCATGATATCATAGATTTAAATTCTTCTTCAGCCAGTATCAGCCAGTAGAAACTTTTTTTTTACTATTCTTAGCCAGCATTTAACGACGATCCCACCTGATGGCAAGTGGTGATGTAGCCTAAGATGGTGAAATGCACTGACTTAAAAAAACCTATCTACTCTTGCCTTAAAGACACCCACCAGTAATTGGATGGAAAGACAGATGCTGGCTACTTATTCCTTACTTTGCTGTACGCATGACGAACAATGTAGCAAACCATTTGGTTTGAATGCGTGTTGGAATGTTGGACAGGTCACCTACATTTATCCATGATTTATGAGAGAATTAAAATACAGTTGCATTGTCACCCCTGGTGACTAAGATGGCATGCCTTGTTTCCAATAAAAAGGGTCTCTAGTTTTCACTCACTTTACACTCATCATACAATACACAGCAGTATTAAGCTGCTATTTTATTTTTGTATTCTGTGAAAGGGTGGTTCTTTCCCGAACAAGTCGACCCATTCTTGCCACATAATACAGCTGTAATGTGACTCTACCACATATAATAAGATGGTAATAGCGACATTGATCATTGATCCAAAACAAATTGAGCCTATATCATCTGCATTCAAAGTGATATAGTGGTAAACCTATTTTTTTATAGGATAGGGTGACAAGTGAGCACACAGTCCACCTGATGGTAAGTGGTTGCTGTAGCCCATAGACATCTACATCTATCCTCAATTATGAATCCAAATGCAGATGCATTGTCATCCGTGAGGACTAAGATGGAATGCCACGTTTCCAGTAAAAAATGGTTATAACTTAGATACATTTTGTAGAAACAATAAATTGATAAAATGAACGGCCTACAATGATTATCTGAAATCTAAACTAAATCACATTAATGTATCAAACCCGGGTGAAACAGGGGCGTGTGGCTAGTCTGTTATAATTTAAATACAACAAATGACCCACTATGCATCCTTGTGAAATGCCATGATGCATTGGAAATAGTGTACTTTAATATTTATCAATTTTCAGTACAACTAGCTGTCTGCTAGTAAGGTAGGATGTAATTATTCAAAGAACATTGCCATAAATACCAAATATTTCAAATTGTTTTAGCAATGGTTCATGATTTATGGTACAAAAGGGCTTTTTAGGTCAATGAACATACACAGAACAATTTTTTTGTCCATACTGTTAGTCATGTTGTGAAGTGTCACAACATATTATGTCTAGATCTAAAGCCAAATGGCCATTGTGAAATGAATTTAAGCGATTCTAGGTATGTCTCCCAAAAACTTTTATTTGCACTAAATACTATCCCCAGCTTAGAATTGAACCCATGACATATTTAAGACTATGCCCCACCATTGTCACATTGAATTGTATTCATTGGGGTACAAAAAACTTTCATTTAAGTGTTAATTAATTATTAAGTAAACATCCGAAAGTGTCATATTTTTTACTATTTATTATAAATGAGGAGAAATGAAACATATTATTTTCACAGTATTTTTACTGTCATAGATATATGTAAATCACATGTATAGGTTGCCATTAAGGCAATTAAAATAAAGTGAACATACATAATTTTTGCATAAAAATTAACCAACTAAATGAAATTGACCTTTTTGACTAGATATAGAATAGGAAATAAACAAAATATATGCTTACCTCGCAAACTACATCAAAACCTGTGTGTATCTTGTAATGGTTACGTAATGACAACCTTGATGTTAATATTTTATGACAATATTCACATTCGATCTCCTCTTTCACTCTTTCAGCCTTCTCTTTCTTTGACTCTTTATCCTTTTCTCGCTTCTCAATTTTATTCTTTATTGTTCTCCTAGGTTTAATTTCAACATTGTCTTTTTTATTTGTTTTATTGTTAAAAACTATTTCTTCTGGTTTTTCTATTATATCTAATATTCTAGGTTCAAATTCTTTTTGCAATGGTTTATCCGGCATATTACAGATTTTGTGTTCAGAAATTTCACAATTACTGTACTGCAAGTTATCTAGTGTAATGTTATCATCATAATCTTTAAAGTCATCATCAGGTGGTAAAAATTCAGATATATCTATTGTTGTTGCCTTTTCATATTCTATTTTTAAAATGTATGGTGTTTCAGACTTAATATCATGAATCTTGTGATCTAATAAAGATTTCTGAGCATCTTCACAGCGTTTACGAAATTTAATTGACTCATTTATAAATGCAATGCATGTAGAGCACATTTCTTGTGGAAGTGTGTCGTTTACTTCAACCTGAAAATTGAAATCATTATATTTCATTTAATAATTTATTTAACAGAAGCACCATCTCCCATGAACAATCACAACACCATGGCAATTGCAGGTGTGTTGCCAGCTTTTTATAAAGGAGAATTTCTTAATAGAATATGAGTAACAAATGAGCACACAGCCCACCTGTGTAAGTGGATGTTTGGAGTAAGTGGATGCTGTGGCCCATAAACATCAACATCTATTCTGGATTAAAAATCAAAATGCAGATGCGATGCCACCCCTGATGACTAAGATGGAATGCCTCATTTCCAGTAAAAAGGGTATCCTTTTCTCTACACTCACTGCTTCATTGGTCTAGTAGTCTAGTGCTGGCTGCAGATCATTATCAACATGCAGATGATGCAGAACCGGGTTCAAATCATGTTTCGGACCAAAAAAAGTCATATATTTTTAATAGAAGTCTGAAGTGAGGAAGATGGCAGTATTTCATCCCTCGCACTTCGGAAAGTATGTAAAGCCATTGGTCTTGCATCTGATCTCTCTTAGGTTGTGTCAGATTTTCATGTCATTGGATAGAGAAGACAAGAGAAGAGGGAATAAAGAGCACACTTGTGAATATACTTGCGCAGATGACTAGTCTCCATTGAAATGGTGCAGATTTTTATTTTTTGATATAGTAGTCACATTTGGCAGGCAGGTTGACAGCTGCAGTTTTTTTGATGGTCTTAATTGTTATAATACATAAACTCCTCTAGTATTAGTGGTATTAATAGAATTTCCAGGTTTTTAAAAAAGTGATAGTTATTATATGCAGAAAATCCTTAACAGTTTTTAATAGCTCTAGCTTTCACGACTTCACACCACAGTGGCTTGAGTATCAGCGTTGGGGCCGCGGATTTTAATCAAGCATAAAACAAGTATTTGTATGCCTAAAAATAATTGTTTTATATACGTTATCTTTTTTAAATAAAAAAGCTATAACAGAAATAACATTTTTTTTATGTTATACCGTGTAGGGCATGTAAAACAGCAAAATATCATGAATTATGATATATATCCTGATCATTTTAACTATGTTTTTCAGGTCAATTAAAAATTACGTTGGATAAGTACTTTTGTAAGAAAGCAATACGACAATCTATTCGTGGTCTATTCTAATAATAAGGAATGACATTTATTTTTACCTTTAAACCAGTAGTTAATTGTATCAATTTAGAATATTTATCACTTTGCTCGGGAAGTGCGAATATTGGATGTAGAAATTGCTCGTTGAGGCAAGTTCTGCAGCAGTTCCACGGGTACATGCTTACTATTCAAAAACATTTATAGTGTTCATTAATTTTAATTATATACCAAAAGTTTAAAGTTTATATATTTCCAACAATTTGTTTTTGTTTTTGTTTGGGTCGTGGTAGAAGTCTATGGTTTGGGCTTTGGCATAGACTACTAAGACTAAGAGGATACTACGCATGGCTTTGGGTCTTTGAGTATTCAATAAGTTATATTAGTGCACAAGTGTTTATGGAAAGTTTATCTAACAATCTAAAAGAAATAAATAGACTTCAAAAATATCCTCCACTTCCGCTAACAAATGAAGACAAAAACCTTTCAAATGCAACCATTTGTCATATATGTGAAACAGAGTTAGCAGAATATTTTTATGACTTTGATTGGTACACCGGTAGTTTTGTAGGTGTTGCTCATGAATCATGTAGCTCAAAGTTCAGAACACCTCGTTATATACCAATATTTTTACACAACCTTAGTCACTATGATGCTCATTTTATTGTTCACGCGTTAAACTTTTGTGATGGTGAAGTCGAAATTATCCCTCAAAATAAAGAAAAATATATATCCCTTTCCAAAAAATTAAAAATGAATAACCACGAAATTATATTCATAGATTCATTTAAGTTTTTAACATGTAAATTAGAAGAATAGGCCAAAAATCTCAGTAATGATCAATTTCAAGAATTACGTAGAAATTACCCTAACTATGAAGATTTCTTTCGTTTAAAATGGAAAGGCGTTTATCCATATGAACTTATGACTAATTATGATAGTTTAAGCCTAGCATCGCTCCCTGAACAAAAACATTTTTATAGCTCGCTCACAGATTCCCATATTTCAAATGATGATTACAATCACGCTAAAGATGTTTGGGAACACTTTGGGTGTTGTAATGTGCTAGATTATTCAAATCTGTACTTAAAAACAGACGTTTTACTTTTATCCGATGTATTTGAAAACTTTAGAAAGTTATGTATTAATACTTATGATTTAGACCCTGCCCATTATTACACAGCACCCGGTTTAAGTTGGGATGCAATGTTAAAATAGAATTAGAACTTTTAACAGATTATGAGAAAATTGCATTTATTAGATCAAATATCAGGGGTGGTGTATCTCAATGTAGTAATCGTTATGCTAGAGCTAATAACAAATACATGGAGGATTATGATGCAGGGAAACTAAATTCATATATCACATATTTTGATGCCAACAATTTATATGGTTGGGCTATGTCTCAATGTCTTCCTACTGGTGGATTCGAATGGGTAAATCTGAATACAGAATTTAACGTGTCTGAGACATCGGATTTCGGTTTTATTTTAGAAGTTGATTTGGAATATCCAGATGAACTTCATGATTTAAATTCGGACTTTTCTTTATGTCCAGAAAACATTTGTGCAGGCAATATTAATGAAAATAAACTAGTCCCAAATTTAAATAATAAAGATAAATATGTAATTCATTATAGAAATTTAAAGCAGTGCATAGAAATGTGGGATAAATTAACTAAAATTCATAGTTTTAAAATTTAAACAGTCTTCCTGGTTGAAAATGTACATAGATCTAAACAAAAAATTAAGAACGTTAGCAAAATCAGATTTCGAAAAAGATTTTTATAAATTAATGAATAATTCAGTCTTCGGTAAGACTATGGAGAATATTGAAAACGGGTTAACATAAAATTAGTTACACACTGGGAGAACCAGGGTAAAGCCTTTTAGGTGCTCAAGATCTAATCGCTAAACCACAATTTCATAGTCTTTCAGTATTTTTGGAAAACCTTGTTGCGGTTCAATTGCGAAAAACGAAGTTAATATATAACAAACCAATTTATTTAGGGTTTTGCATTTTAGATATTTCAAATACATTAATGTATGATTTTCATTATAACTATATGGTTAAAAAGTTTAGTAAAATCAAATTATTGTATACAGATACCGATAGTTTAATACATCATATATTTACAGTTGATTTTTACAATCAAAAGTGGTAGTGACAGTGAGTAATCAAGTGACATTGAAGAAGATATGATCCCTTTACACCTTATTGATCATCTATACATCTATACATATAATAAAACAGTAACGAAAAAAAAACTGTACATTGAGTATTTTCGAGAAAAAAAAATAAGTGGCTTTTGTTAGAAAAACGTAACTGATGACAAAAAGTGACTTTTCAGAATTTTTGTCTGTTTGTCTGTTTGTCTGTGTGTATGGTACGGCTTCACGCCAAAACTACTAAATAGATTGATTTGAAATTCAGCAAAAATGTTCTTTGTAAACCAAGGAAGGCTTTAGGCTACATATTATCACGCCGTATGTTATAGGGGGTAAGCAGTATTGATTTTAAAAGGTTTTTCTCTGTAATTGAATGCACAAAATGATATGTTATTAGTTAAAATAAAAATAAAAATTTAACTCTGGGAACATAATAATCACGCTATTTTTATAAAGGAGCGGGGCAGTAATATTATTAATTTCAAGGGAACAGCTGTTTAACAATATGTCGACCGTCAAAAATGTTTACCGCATTAAATGGTGCGAGTTTAAATCCCATAATATTGTTTTGAAAAATCGTAATTTTTGTTTAATTTTTTCACTTTTTATGTGCATTAGGAAATCCGGGAACTTTACATGTCCTATATGATTGTATGGAGAGTTTCACACCAATATTACTAAACAGTTTGATTGGTGGTACAACAAGTTACACTATCATGAAGTCATGTCAAACTTTTGGTTCTAAGTTATCATCCTATAGAGACGTGGGTTACCTTGTTGTCTGTGTTGGTTGATGTGTTTAATTTTCCTACGAATAATTATTATTTTTCTACTATTACGTACTTATTCGATAACTTTTCATTATTTTGAATATCGTTAGTATCGGATTAAGAAGGAATCTAGCTATGCCTTTTAGAAAAAGATCAAATCTGTCTCGAAACTCAAGCGTTTTTAAGATGCGCAGGTTAGTTAGTAGTAGCAGTAGTTTCTCTCGAACCCACGCAGAGCTTTAATAACGGCTAGGTGCTAACCGTGAGCGTAATGCACTAAGTTTGTCCGCAGAAATTACCACGCAGCGCCAATTACGACTAGAATTTAAACGAGTCCGCACTATTGCTTCTCGATCTCAGGAAAGTGTGGAACAACGAGAAATGCTTTTAGCTATCGATCGGGATCATCATTCTTTGTCTCGCGCATCCGAAACGGTTACACAGAGGGATCAGAGGTTGAGTTTTCAGAATATCCGCTCCGAGACTGCTCGATCACTTGAGAGCAGTCAGGAGCGTGAGATACGACTTGCGCGTGACCGAGAACGTGGGCAAAGCCAAGATTACAGCTATAGTTTATAAAGAATTTTTTTAAAGTGATTTGCAATATTATTGTTAATTCAGTGTACCCTTGGGATCCGGTGCATTACGCACCGTATCGGTGAAATATACGGGATGAAAAGTTTTTTGTTGTATAGGTGTTAAGTCTAGGTAACATATAGGCTATAATTTATTTTGGAAAATGGAACACCTGATGCAGAACAGCAACAGACCAGCTAAAGTATAAGAGATATAAAAATGGTGTCATAGCAAAAAATATTCCACGTGAAGAGTTTTTTCTGCTGTGAGAGTAAATTTGAAGATTTGGAACACCTGTTGTGGAACTCCAAAGCCCAGCGACATTATAACATATATAGGAATGACGCCTTAGCAAAAGTTATTTAATCTGATGGGCATTTCATATTGACTTACAAAAATGAAAGATCTGGAACGTCTCGAATCGTCTCGCACATTACGTTGTTTTCCCGTCCCCGGGCTCTTAGAATTCGAAAACAGACGTTTTATATCTTCGATTTTGACGACCCCGTTGTCGCTGGCGTAAGCAACATCATCCGCGTACGAAGTCGCGGGCAGCAGCTAGTAATTATATAAAGTGTTTCTTTTTAACCATGTCTGAATAAATTTATCATGAATGTTCCTATTGATATGTGAATTGTTTCAGAGAGTACACTATGACACTTAAAAACATGAGTATGGTCATTATACACATGAGTAAAGTCATTAGTACAATATCCATAATGCCTGTCCCTACATTTCGGGAATCCTATTCACATTGAAACATGCAACACTGTAAATTACAGTGCTGCCAATCTGATTACGCGTCAAGTTACGATGAACGGACGATATAGCTTGATCTCTGCGACAGCTGTCAGTAAAATCCGTAGACAGAGAAACCTATAGACTAAAGATTAGCGTGGCCTCGAGTGAGAAAGGACGATAACGTAGTTTTAGGTTATACAATAATCTTTATGACTTTTAAACATATTTAGATAAAAATATTAATTGTACTAAGAACTGAACTGAACAAGATCCACCAATCTTAAGCGCACAAAACACTTTTTTCTCATATAAACTAACTTATAAACTCCTGAAATCGCTACGAACTGTCAAAGTTATTTAGCAAAGTGTAGTTTGCTAAACAAAAAAACCGGCACGGAGAAAGGGACAAACAATCACACCGCTCTGTTCCATTTCTAAGCAAGACGTATGCATAAATCTATCTCTTTCGTGTGCGAATACGAAAGAAGGCGTCAATTTGTCTATAGGTTTCTCTGTTTACGGTAAAATCAATGCCTATGAAGTCCTGAATTTCTTAGTAGTACAGACACACTGACCTCTATATATACAAGTACGCTGGACTGGCTATACCATAGAAAATGACTGTGCCAATTTGAAGCGCCGCTAAAGGATGTCTTTAAAAATAAAATTGACATAATATGTCAAAGTCTGTTGTCTCATTTATATTGTCTTATTTAATAAGTCAGTATTTTGAACTTTTAAACTAAAAACGAAAGTATTTTATGTTGTTTCATTGTGTTTTTTTTATAGAAGAAGGGGCAAACGAGCATGCGGCTCACCTGATGTTAAGTGACTACCGCCGCCCATGATCAACCGCAACACCAGGAGAATTGCGGGTGCGTTGCCGGCCCTTTAGAAAGGAGTAAGCTCTTTTCTTGAAGGTCCCCA